GGAAGGAAGGAAGGAAGGAAGGAAGGAAGGAAGGAAGGAAGGAAGGAAGGAAGGAAGGAAGGAAAGAAGGAAAGAAGGAAAGAAGGAAGGAAGGGGGAGAGATGGAGGGAGGGAAGGAAGAAGGAAAGAAAGAAAAAAGAAAAGGAAGGAAGGGAGGGAGGGAGAGAGGAGGGAGGGAGAGAGAAGGAAGGAAAATCATATCTAAACCTTACAGTACTTTCAGAATGAATGTTTTATGTACAAAGCAACATCTCTATAATTATTAGTAAAACAAAGATGAAACTAAAATGCGGGGAAAAAATAAGTACTCCAAAATGTAGCTCGTTCCTTCAGGTCTTTTCCTCCAACTGTCCTTTACTGTCTAGGATTAGGAAAAGAGGCAAGGAGGGGACAGCTTGATTTCTTGTTCAGTACCATTTGGTTCAGACTACAGTTCTGGAGCCAGTTCCTAGAAGTGCTGGGGACGGGATGGGCAAGACAAGAGTAGGACAAAGGACTCCCCGCTCAACTGACTCTGCTGTCCTTAATTATCTCTCAATGGAGGGAGAGGACAAGGAAAAGAAAATATTAAAAATAAACATGAATATATGTTCACTATCCACACAATGCTTAGACCTACAGAAAATATCTTATACTTTCTTTTCTGTCAGTTACAAGAAGGATGGTTAGATTTACTGTGGTAGCCTCCTATAAAAGTAAAGCTAAACATTTTTTTAAACCAAAACATTTTTCCAATTAAGCTGGAACCCCCCAAACTTTGGGTCTAACTGAATTGCTTGACATTTATTTGTGCCAAGATTTTCCAAACTGCCACAAAGTTCCTTTTCTGGAACTTGCCTAGAGGCAAATCTACTACTTACAATTCTAAAGGATCCTAGAGACATTGCTTGGGCTTTTCACTTGCTGCTGCCCATATTCCAGTCACTTATCTTAATATAATTAATGAATTCATAACTTTTTTGGGGGTGGGTTTCATTATGTTGCTCAGGTCAGCCTCTAATTATTCCACGCAAGTGATCCTCCTGTGTCAGTCTCCTGAGTTGCTGAAACTTCAAGTATATACCACAGTACCTAGCTCACTTAAGTTATATATTTAGACCAATTCCACGTAGGAAAGAAAGCGATACTGACATGGTACATCTGAATTTACTTTATAATAAACAGAATGAAACACTCTACTAGAAAAGCAATAGTCTCAAGACATCTGCTTCCTCTTTTTTAACATTAAATTCAAATCATGACAAAATACATTATCTAATTTCAATAGTCTTTTTGCAGTCCTGTTTAGAATTTATACATTTCCTGTTATGAGTGCCAAATAGGAAATCTTGTTCTTTATCCACCTACATAATCTCTTTAACTATTCATATAAGGTAACAAAATACACAGATGATATCTTTCTGCTAGTACTCGAACATGGCCAACAGATTAACAGATTGGCAGAAATTTAAGAAATAAGTGATAGCAATGAAAGGAAAAAGTAGCTTCATGAAACTTGATATACTTATAGGTACAAATATAACTCTCTTTTGGATTTCTTTGGAAATATAATTTATTCTCCTTAAGTGAACAAAGTGTTCATCTTTTCAAAGTAAAAAGTCAGTGTTCTAGTGACTTTGTAATTGCAAAGAAAGAAGCACATGGTAACTCCATTTCTGTGAGAAAGGATTACATTCACCGAAGTGGTGGGTCCAGGTCTGTTCACTCTTCCTGGAGACTGTGAAAACTAAGTTTCAGGAAGCTTTATAAAAGCACAAGTCCTGACTTATCACACACATGCTCAAACTCACAGAAGGCGGCAAGATTTTGAAGAAAGTGATCATTTCCATTGCTTGTAAGACCTTGTTAACTTGCTGCAGAAAAGCTGCATTTGTAATTTTAAAATAGTGTTCAAATACAAAAAAAATTGTATTTTAATCTGAGGATATAGCCCAGTGATAGAGTACTTGCCTAGCATTCCCAAATGTGTATTTGTGTGTGTGTTCATGTCTCTGTGTGTGATGGTAATCAGCCCACCTTAGATCATAAAGGTCCAAGGATAATCTGGCAAATCACTGCAACTCCAAATTCCTTAGCAGGCTTCTTTAAGACAAAATTTTAAAAGCCTATCAGCAAACCTGTGTGAAGTCAAACAGACCTTAAGTCCACCTCTTCATGAACATTCAGGAAGATGCTAAATCAAAGATGTTTGTTTCTGATCACCAAGTACAATTTTCCTTCTGGGAGACTATTAGGCTGTGCTGAATTTATAATTTCCTTGAAGCACTGTCACTTTTAATAGGTATGTGTCTTGCCAGAATATGCTCACTTCATTCTGACAGTGACAGAAAGCTCACTAATGAAATAGTTTGACCAGTTTCTTTCTTCAAGTGGGAAGAAAGGGGGAAGGGGGAACTGCATTTAAAAGGCTGCATATTATACATAATGTAGTTCACGAAATAATAAATTCAAGATTTGTCATTTTTACTTTGATAGTTCTAAAAACCACTCCTGACAAAGGAGCTTTACATATCTGCTTTGCCCTTTCGTCGTCATTTACCTGTCAGGATGAATAGAAGAGAGCACAAAGACAAGGAGGACGACATCCAGGATCCCGTCTGGGAAAGGGTAGGGCAAGCCATCCTCACATATGTCGTGCACAAAGGCGGAACACTGGGAGGCCCTGTAGGATGAGTGTGCCTGGCACAATGAAGGAATAATAATTTTTTTATATTAGATTTCCCAGAGGATTTTCCTTAATGAAAAGGTCAGGTTTTTTTTAATTTAATTTAATTTTTTTTACCTTTTCTCCAAGAGTCTTTATCCCATAAATCTAAATGCACTTATTTCCAATTCAGTACTCTGGTAGCTTATTTCAAGCAGCCCCAAAATATGAAACCCAGCACTTGGCCTTGGTGACAGTGTTTTTGAAGGCCTACTGTGTTCAGAGGAACTGAGCAATGCTCCAACTCTCCCACTGCTTTCTGTTTTCTATACTATGTGTTCAAAATTAGATGACAGTGACAGGTATACAATGGAAGTATGTTAAGCCACTTAATTGAAGTCTTTAACTCCCATTTCCTAAACAGAGACCAGGAAATGTTTCTTTCTTTTTCTATTTCTCCCTACTTCAACTTGGTTATAATAAAATAAATCCTTGCTAAGAAACAAACAAATAAAAAACATTCAATTGTATATGTAAAAATGGAATAGTATATGAACTATTTCAATAAAGTTTTTAAAGTTGTATTTAAAAGTAATTTTAAAAAGTTACACTAAAGTAACACACACAGACACATCAGAGACAATCTGCCTACAAATTCAACACTAGAAGGAAATACATCAACACATGAACATTTATTCACTCTAGAAATGTGACTATAGGTGCATTCTTCTCTACATTAGGCTATTATCTTAGAAAAGTCAACAATGAATTATCAGAAATTAAGTCTTTACTTAATTTTTTTTTTGGTTGATCTTGGGGTTTGAACTCTGGGCCTGGGCACTTTCCCTGAGCTCTTCAGCTCAAGGCTAGTGCTCTACCACTTGAGCCACAGTGCCACTTCCTTTACTTTATTTATTTATGTATTTATTATTTATTTATTTTTGGTGATGGGGCTTGAACTCTGGGCTTGGGCGCTGTCCCTCAGCTCTTCAGCTCAAGGCTAGTGCTCTACCACTTGAGCCACAGTGCCACTTCCGGTTTGCTGAGTGGTTTACTGGAGGTAAGAGTCTCATGTACTTTGATGCCTGGGCTGGCATTGAACTGCGATCCTCAGATCTCAGCAACCTGTGTAGCTAGGATTATAGGCATGAGCCACTGGTGCCCAGCTCTTTTACTTAATTTCTTTTCTAGTACTGGGGATTGAACATGGATACTGCACTTGCTAGGCAAGTACTTTGCCACTAGGCTATATTTTAGCCCAAGTTTTTATTTAATTTTTAAAAGCCTTAATGTGTTTACCACACATTTTTGTTCATAGAATTTGTTTTCCCTTTCCATTTGTTAAACTTTGTCTTCATTCAAAGGAAGTCCTCACTAGCATTCTGAGATCTGCATGACAAGTCCAGGTTCCCCACTGTCTTTGTGATAGTCAAAGACATTTCAGATTCATGAAAAATGCCTTTACAGACATTTTTCATTTCACAAATTTTAATGAAATCAATTCCTACTATGTATAAGGCTATAAAGACACAAATACAAACACGATCTTGTAGAATTAAGGTTTATTTTACCAAATGAAAACTTTTGACTTTTAACTGGTTTCCTCTGAAATTAAGTTGTTTGAGTATGATTATTCATAGGCAGACACACAGGCTTTACTTTGTAGATTACTATCTTCTGGTCATCCCTGTGTGCTGTTGGCCTCCTTAGGTGTATGCCTGTCCTTTGAGATCTATTTTAAATCCAGACCAATTTTTATTATCTTAAAGTAATTAATATCATAGGCATCAGAAATTGTAAAAACTCAAAAATAGTCACAGATAACATTTGATCCAGAGACATTTCAAAAGAACCACTTGGAAAGCAAACAAATGAGATAGTCTTAAAAGAAAATATAAGACATACCTTTACAAGCTCAACAGCTCTAGAGGCAAAATCACAACAATAGAGAAAGGATTCTGGAAGATTCCTATGAAAATGGAAGAAAGATTCAATTTATAGTCAAGATTTGGTCAAACTAGAGAAGAAAGTATAGGTTTGACTTTCTTATTTAAGAAAATTCTGGATGATATCTAGCTTGTCTTCTGGTTTTTCTTGAGGTTTATTGGAGATAAGAGTCTCACAGAGTTTCCTGCCTGAGCTGGCTTTGAACTGTGACCCTCGGATCTCAGCCTTCTGACTAGCTAGGATTACAGGTGTGAGCCACCGGCGACCGGCTTTTACTGGAAATTTAGTAACAATGGATGGCCTGTGACTACTCATAGGCAGACATATACCCTTCCTGCTCATCCTGTGTGCTGATATCAAATAACCTTTGCATCAAGTGGCTAAGAGACAGGTTTCAATTACACAAAAAGGTCAGTTTGTCAGTAAACAACACTACTAAGTTTAAGTATGGTCCTGGCTCTTGAGTATTTTATGGTTTTGTTTGGGACATGTCTAGTTTTATACAACTTTTATAGGGATATGCAGAAGGCCAGCCCTCTAAAGTGTAAGTCTAGAAAAAATTGTCAGGGGGAAGACTGCATTACTAAGTGAGGAGAAGAAATGGTCTAAGGGTTTAGAGGTTAGAGGCACCTGCCAGGGACAAGAAGCAGAGCTGATCCTAAGAACTTATACTAGTATGTGGTAGGGCATAAAGACGAGCCTTAAAACACAAAATGGAAGAGAATCAAGGAAGGGGTGACACTGACCAAGCATTGTACACACAACCTGACTTATGAAATTGTTACCCCTTTTTATGACTATTTAATTATAATAATAAAGAATGAAAAATAAGACCTTAAAAATCAAAGTAAAAGTTAAAAACCCTCACAAAATTGAGACTTCAAAATTTGATTTAAAAAGCCTTTGAAATAAGGCAAACTTCTGAATAAACATTGAATATAAACATGAATTTAGCAACATTTAACCCAAGCTCAGATATTACAACTCTAAAGGCTACTCACTGATGTATACTAATAGTCACATGTAATTAATTCTTTCTGTACAATAGAGATTTACATTCAAGTTAAGATATGATCACACAAATTAACATATGATGAACAGAACTTAGTTAACCAGCACCAAATGGAAGTTAAAACTTTTGAACTGATTTTTTCATTTTGTCTCATGTAAGAAAACAGTATTTGCCAGGAATGGTGCCAACACTCAGAAAGTAGAAGCCAGAGTCTTGGAAATTCTAGGCTAGCTTGGGTTATACAGTGAGACCTAGTCTCAAAACCCCAAAAATACAAAAATAAATTAACTAGCTAAAATGAACTCTTAAGCATGGTTTGGCAATATGAGAATTCTGTAACATTTAACAAATTCAACAAGAAGTAAGCATATGGAATAGAAAATAAAGTGGTACTTTATATATCCCTGTTGTTTCCTATGACATCAGACTTGTATTCTACTGAGTGATTGTGTTTGAAATATTCTCAGTTAACACTCAGATGTATGCAATGTAACTTGGTCTAATGGTTAAGCGGGCTCTGGAAACACACTGCCAAAGGTTTGATTCCTGGCTCTGCCATCTATTTATATACCAAAAGACAGTTATTTAATTTCTCATCTTTAAAATGGAAATAAATATGGCATCTAAGGTGGTTATGAGGGCTGAATGGATATATACAGTGAATTTTCTAAAGAAGTATCTGAGTCAAGAGTAAGTGCTTGGGCTGGGACTGTGGTTTAGTGGTAGAGTGCTTGCCTAGAACACATGAAGCTCTAGGTTCAATTCCTCAGTACTACATAAACAGAAAGTGCCAGAAGTGACGGTGTGGTTCAAGTGGTAGAGTGCTAGCCTTAAGCAAAAGAAGCTGGGGACAGAGTACCAAGCCCTGAGTTCAAGCTCCAGGAATAGCCCCCAAAAAGTAATTTCTCAGTAAAGCTAGTCATTTCTATGAATGGTGGTATTGTTATTATTGTTGTTGTTATTGGTATTATTGTGATAGATATGCCTGTGCCTTCCCAGAACTTTAAGACTAACATGGTCCTCTATCTTGGTATATCCAGCACACTATAAAATGTCTGAAGACTACTTTGGGTAGTTATTGAATATCTACCAGATACAGAACAGACTAAGAACTAAAGGAAAGCATGTGTCATTTGCCATGTGCCCAACCAAGATGACAGCATGACCTCTGAGATGCAATTCCTACTGCATCAGCATCCCAAGTTAAAGTCTTGTGACCACCCAATAACTTTCCAGAATCTTTCTGGAAAATCAGCTGACTGCCTTGGCTCTTTTCCCAGGAAGCAGGTGTAAATATCCCTACTACCATCATACCAGCAAGCACTCTCTTGGCAGGGGGGTTAGGAATTAAATGATCCTTGGAAAATGATCTGACCTCTCAATTCCAGAGGTACAATTATGCTAAGATATTCTGAAAATGTAAAACATTAATCCTATACTCTCCAAAAGTAATGAAACAATTTCTCAGGTAGGAAAAAAAGCCTTAATGTTCCCTTTGGAGGGCAGATCACTGGTTGGCTTTTAAAGATGGAATTAATTATCTTAGGCTATTGAGCTACTATGATATCTAAAAAATGGATAGGAAGACATAGCCAAGAAGAGTCAAAAATGAGGAGACAATAATTAGTTTGAGGAAAAAATATAGAGGAAAAATGCAATTTAAAAGTAGGAAATCAGAGTTAAACAACCAATAAAATATTGAGCTCTAACTATGTATATTGAACTGTTAGGCAACCTGATTAGGATAAAATATTAGGAATATAAAAATGGCAAAAAACCAAGAAAAACATGACATGCTAAGCAATAACCAATCAATTCCACTGTAATGTACCTACGAATATTGTAAGTTCAGGTATCACTGGTGTGAAGGAATCTGGCAATGTGGTGAAAGGGAGCAGAAAATTTCAATGCAAAAATTGCAAAAGAGAAAACAAAGGTAATACATAGAAAACGGAAAGGCCATTCAGAACTGTAAGTTTACCACTCTCACCTGCACCCGGCCATTTTAACTGGTCATTAGATACTGTTAAGGAATTACTATTTGTTATGTTGGGTTTATTAAAGCATTAGAGAATGTCCTGATTTTTGAAAATGCATCTTGAATAATAGAAGGTGAAGTGTCATGATGTTGGCATTATGTTAATAATTGTTGAGTAAAGGTGGTGGATTTATGCAAATTCATTGTAAACTCTTTGTTTTGTCAAATGCATTTACATTTTCATAATAAAAAGTTTAAAAGATCACATTGTTAGATGAAAAAATATGCATGCAAAATGAAAATTGTGTAAGTGGTCATGTTTAGGAAGATGAGGATGATGGGTGAACCCCTCCTTCCTCTAGTAGAAATGTTCTACACTATGCTTATGCTGATTTTATTGTGGAAAGATGATGTGAAAGCTATTGTATAAACTTCCATTTAAAAAAAAGAACTTGACAGACTAGCATAGGTATAAAGTGTTTGGAGAGCTTAATAAGTTATGTCTTCCTCATCATAGAAATCCTCAGACACTGAGGTGAAATGGTGAACAAGAAGGGTGGGCCAGGAAACATCTCTGGTCCCATCTCCTACTTTTATTTTTGAGTCGGGGGTTCATTGCTGCCACTTCCAAAAAAATCTCAAGCCTAGACACAATGATGTGACATGTGAAGGTCTTACACTGAGTGTTGCTCCAGAAATGATGACAAATGAGAAGAAGTTTAAGGTATAAACTTTAGACTTAATTCTCTGTGTAAAACGACATCAAGCCTCCTGGAGGAACAAATAATATCTGAGGTGACTTCCTTAGCTTAGTGAAAGGATAGAATCTCTAGTTCTCTCTCTTGTTCCCTCATCCACATAAACACAAGCGTTAACATTACTTCAAGCCCACAGTGAACAGCCCAAGGCTGTAAAACACCTTTTAAGAGTGATTCCCAGCTCATGAGAATTTAGTTACTAAGACATTCCTTTTGAAATTTGCTTTAGTCATTGTTGATATAAGAATTAAGGAAAGTGGCACTGTGACTCAGATGGTAGAGCACAAGTCTTAAGCTGAAGAGTGAGGGACAGCGTTCAGGCCCAAAGTTCAAGCCCCACGACCGACACACACACACACACACACACACAAAAAGAATTAAGAACACTAGAGTATCATATACAGGACAACATATTAATATCCCATAAATATGTACTATTCTGGAAGAAAAACTCTTGAAACTCACTGCAAGGTGTTCAGAATTGGAAAAACACTGCTTCCAGCACCACAGCCAACCTAAAATTAACAGAACAAACAAATACCATGAATGTGTTAAATTTTCCTTAGATTTCCTGTCAGATTGTCTATTAAGAAAAGCAACAAGTTAACTGGACCTCTGGATATGGTAGAACTTTCTAAATTCAAAGACAATGAAATAAAGTATAAGAATAATACTGAAAAACAATTATGGAAACATTCAAAACTTGTATATAATGAAGCTGAAGATAAATCAAATTGAGAGGTACCTACAATAAAAATCTGCAATAAATATGATAAAGGGCAGAGCTCATTAAAAAAGCAAAGGAAAAATGGACAGAATGCAAACAAGCATGAATGACTTTTTAACATTTGCAAAACTATGCAATAAACTTAGTAATGAAAAAGGTGCAAATAAAACAAGGCATAATCTTTGCCTAACAAAGAAAAATATCTCTAAAATAATATAATATAATAATATTTCAATCAAAGAGGGTATAATGAGATAAACATAAACTGCTATGGAACTGATATTAGTTTAAACTTTTTTTGTTACAATTCCTGGGGCTTGAACTCAGAGCCTGGGTGCTGTCCCTGAGTTTTTTTAATACTGGTGTTCTACCACTTAAGTCACAGCTCTATTTCTGGCTTTTTGCTAGTTAGAGACAAGCAACTCATGCTCAGGCTCAGGCTAGCTTTAAACCATGACCCATAGATTTCAACTTCCTGAGTAGCTAGGATTACATGTGTGAGCCACCAGCCCACAGCTTTTTAGAAAGCAATTTGGCAATGTCTTAAAAGTATATTTAAAAAAAATTATAATCTAGTAAATGTAGTATAATAATAAAAGAAAATGCAACTAAAACCTACACCCATTTGCTGCAGAAAACCTAAAAACAATGTAAATGCTCAGTAGTATGAAAATAGATAAGTAACATTTCATTAGTTCACATAGCAGGGTTTTTTCCTGCAATGAAAATATTTATGAAAGTATTTATTTTTGCAGTTTGGGATTTGAACCCAAGACCTCATACAAGCTAAGCAGCAGCTCTATTTCAGAGTCATACCTCCAACTCTCTGGAGAATTTTAAAAGATAGAGAAAACTTTTTTTTTTTTTGGTCATAAGGCCTGAACTCTGGGCCTGGTGCTGTCCAGTTCTTCAGCTCAAAGCTAGCGCTCTATCACTTGAGCCACAGCGCCACTTTCGGCTTTTTCTGCTTATGTGGTGCTAAGGAATCGAACCCAGGGCCTCATACATACAAGACAAACACTCTACTACTGAGCCACCTTTCCAGCCCAAGAAAATTGTTTCTGATATAATACAGAGATAAAAGCAAAACCCCCAAATGCATGCATAGTATATGAAAGGATGTAAGTAAAATGCTACAGTAGTTAACATTTATTTATGGTATTGTGAATAATTTTATTTCTCTTTATTTCTTTTCATTTCTTTTATTTCTCTAATGGCAAATTCTCTATAATCAACACATATTAACATTATAATAAAAAGATAGGGTTTAGTTTCACAAATAGAAAACTGAGATCTATACTAGATTATGCTGAATTATACATTTCACTTATTTCTATCTCATTTAAAAGGGGATAATTACTGAGAGTAAAAATTAAGGCTAAAACTTTACTAGTACTTAAAACTTCCCTCATGCTAGAAATGAAACAAATTAAAAGAAAAATGCAACAAAGTGAAATTAAAGGCACAAACTTAAAACTTGACTACATATCTATCTATCTATCTATCTATCTAATCTATCTATCTTACTTGGCACTACTGGCTCATGCCTATAATCCTAGCTACTCAGACTAGTTCTAAGGAGTGCAGTTCGAAACTAGCCTAGGCAGGGAAAGTCCATGAGACTCTTATCACCAGTTAACCACTAAAAAGCTGGAAGTGAAGCTGTGGCTCAAGTGGCAAAGTGTTACTTTTGAGCACAAAAGCTTTACAAATCTATCTATCCATCTATCTATCTATCCATCTATCTATCTATCTATCTATCTACAGTATCTATCTATATAAATTTATCTATACAAATTCCTTAACTACTAAAATATTCTGGGCATTTAGATTTGATCTTTATTCACCTAAACAACCTGCATCATAGTGCCTATATATTAAAAAGTGTCATCTGTGCACATCTTTAGTCTTTGATCATGTTACCTCTAGTATTCTGAAAGTGGCATTGCTACCAGGAAACACTTCAGTCTTCTGAAGCTCTTTTCTGGCTTCTTCAGCCTCCAAGTTGGAAAAATCAGACCTCAGTTGGCTTTGACCATCTGATAAACCATTTTTCTTGAGATGTTTTTTTTGTTCTTGTTTTCCTGAGAAACAATCTGCAGCATTAGTCTTGACATGATCCCATGATAACTCTTCTACATTCTCTTCAATTTTTTGATCAATTGGAAGAATTTCAGGAAATTCCCTCAACAGCCAATTACGATTCTTGAAAAACTTATTCTTGTGAATCTTGTAAAATGTGTCCCAATATTTGCTAGCTTCACTTTCATACTTAACTAAAATGAAAAGACAAAAAGACATTTTCTATGAAGAATATTTATCATCAGCTACTATTTTGGCAATTGCTAAATATATTCCATTATTTACTGATAATTATTTTGCTACTTAATACTTCTCAATACTACTATAATAATTGAACTTACTAATAAAAAATTAAAGCAGTAAAGGTGTATTTAATTTCCTTCAAAATATCAGTACATGAAATATTTGGTTCTAAAGCCATATGTAAGTCTGCTCTTACTTTAATGGTAATCAATTTTTGTAAGAAATATAATAATTATAAACTACTTTTACAGTCTAATCTTGGAATCCTAACAATCACATTTTTATCAACAATATTTAAAGAGAACATATCATTTTTTTGTCTCTACTCAGAGTCATAATCCTCCTTCCTCTGCTGACTCAGTAGCTGGGAATACAGACAGTACCACTATGTCTGCTACAAAAGCAGTTTCAAATGATGATCAGAAAAGAAGCTATAAAATTATAAACCACACAATTTTAGAGCTAAGAGATTCACTGAATAGTCTACTCCAACCTCCTGGTTTTGCTTTGGGAAAAGGCCCTCAGGTCACTTGCTCAAGGTCCTATAGCCTCAACTATCACGGAACCAGATCACATTTTCTGACTTCAAGTCTGCAGTTAGCACATTCTTCTGATATCTCCAACCATGAAGCCTTCAAGAGAAACACTGATAACTTTTTCTCTTTCTCTTTCTCTCTCTCTCTCTCTCTCTTCCCCACCCCTCCCCTCTCCTTTCCTTTCCTTTACGTTTTGTTGGCTGTGGGGCTTGAACTCTGGTCCTGGGCGCTATCCCTCAGCTATTCAGCTTAAAGCAAGTGCTCTACCATTTGAACCATAGCACCACTTCCAGTTTTCTGGTGGTTAATTTTAGATAAGAGTCTCCTGGACTTTCCTGCCCATGCTGTCTTTGAATCGTGATCCTCAGATCTCAGCCTCCTGAGTAGCTAGGATTACAGGCGTGAGCCATGGTCGTCTGGCACTGATGCTTTCTTGACAGGACCCAGGACTAAGGGCAATGGTCTCTAAGCTTCAGGAAATTCTTAGCCCTCTTCCTCTTCTCACATGCTCCTTATATTAATAAAGTAAGTCATTTCCTCTCTTATCTATCCAACAAACAGTTTGTGACTTCTATTATAGAACAGGCTAATCCCTAGTCTTAAGCCATTAGATTATTACTTTTGCCCAAAGGAGATAACTAATTTTGTTCTTGGTATTAGATTGTAGATTGTTGGTAGTAGTTGGTAGATTTTTGTTGGTGGTAGTTTGAGGCAGTGTCTCACTATGTAGCCCAAACTGGTACAAATCACATTTCAAAAGTACAAAAGCTTTTTAAGGGATATAGAATAATTTCCAGAATTAGGATTGAGAGGAAAAGCAAGGTGTTAAACATTATGCAATCATTCACTAAAAAGGAGAAAGAGGAGAGGAAGGAGGAAGAGAAGAAAAACCATATGTGTGTGTACATACAGAGATATAAAGGTATAAGTTTACTACCTTGAAAAGGTATTAAATACCTCTGGATGGATAGTTGCATAATTAGTAACGATTAACTGCATAATTAGTTGTCTATAAAGAGGGGAATGGAGTGGCTGAGAGCATAATTTGAAGACTTTTTATTTCAATTTTGATCCATGTGGATTTACTATCCATTCCAAAATAAGTTACACTAAAACTAAAGACCTCATTTCCTTCATAATTTGAAAGAAACCATGACCCTAAGGATAATTATCTGGTAGTCAGGATCATCTTAAGAGTTTTCCTTTTCTTGTTTCCATTTCATCTTTATGGTCATGTACCAGAAGCTCTGCCCATCTAGCCATGAGACTTCCTTTCCTCCAAAGCTGAATTGTATGTGGCAACATGACTGCCATAAAGACTGAAACTCTCATCTTTGTTTAAAGTCTGGGAAATGATAGTGGATCTCTATAACAATAACAAAAAATCATATGATTTAAGTCCAAAACATGCTCACATTTGCATAATGTAAAAAAGGTATATATTTATCTTGAAAACAGTGTTAGCCTACTTTTAACAATTGGAGTGTACTTGGTACTCTGTGCAAGAAAGCAAAACAGTTGTGAAAATTAGACTCAGGAGAAATTAGAAAGCTTCCAAATTTCCCATGGGTCTTCTTAAACCTTCTTTTCTTTCTTTACCTTAAAAAGTCTCTTTGAAACTCACTCCATGAAGGTACAGATTTTTTTTTTACAAGATTTTCTTCTACCTAATAAAAAGAAGCCAGAATGCCTACATTTAAAGCTAAGAAGACCTACATCTAGTCATATCTTCTAGCATTTGGGCTTCAAATATCAAATTATGTGTGAAGTGAATATAAGCCTAATTAAACAATAACTAGAATTTAATACTATACCTTGATTAATTTGCAGATGTATTCCCCTAGGAATTAACTAAGGTGGGGTAAGGAGTGCCTGGGAGTATCATGCTGAAAATATGTGCATGGTATTTATAATAGCAATAAATGGGAAATAACTCCAATGCCCAACATCATGGGAATAAGTAAGTGAATCACGATAGGTCAAAACAGGGAAACCTTATATAGCAATTGTAAAATAAAGGACAAAAATCTTAACAAAAAAAAACATTCACATAATAGGAAAGAAACTGATAGAAACTCTAAATTTTATTTTGCATTTATTTATAAAAATCAGTTGAAAATTTGGACTAACTGGAATGAGTTAATGATTATTATGGAGTTCTATTTTTGAAAGTCTATCTTGTATCTACAAAGAATCTTCATTCATCCTGTTATATTTCCTTTATAAAGTAGCCTAATTAGAATAGCTAGACAGTCTGTGTATTTTTCTATTAAACTCCACAAATTTACAAACCTTATCAGTTCTATAAACTACACACTTAAACATGATTGTTGTTTTAAACATGAGCCTTTACTACTCTTTTACTTTTTAAAGTTTATAAGGAAAATGAAAGTCGAGTGTCAATGGCTCATGCCTGCAATCCTAGCTACTCAGGAGGCTGAGATCTGAGGATCACAATTCAAAGCCAGCCCGGGCAGGAAAGTCCACGAGACTCTTATCTTAAATAAACCACTAGAAAACCGAAGTTACACTGTAGCTCAAGTGGTAGAGTGCTTGCTTTGAGCTGAATAGCTGAGAGATAGTGCCCAGGCCCAGAGTTCAAGCCCCACGATCGACAAAAAATAAAGAAAATCCATCTGTATAATCTAGTTCAGATAGCAAACTTGTCAGGCATCTAAATTTAACCCTAGTGCATGAAATCTTTATAAAAGGACTTGACAGAAGCTAAGGCAGAAGTTTGAGGCCACCCTGGATTATACAGCAAAAGCCCCTGCCAAAAAGAAAGAAAGAAACAAACAAAGGGGTTGGTTACAATTAGAAGACAGCAGTCAAATTTTGTAAATACATCTATATTTTCAAGCCATATTTTAATTATTTCTCACTCAAAATAGGAGGAAAGATCATAAAATCACATAAATCATTATATCAATAAGAGTATTAACATCACACATTGAATATTTATGTGTCAGACATTACATCAAATGTTTTCTTGGATTTTTTCCCATTTAACTGAACAATATTGTTATCCTGAATATTGCTTACATGACCTAACTGAATTTCTATCCAGCTTGTTTATCCATGAAGACAGGATACCTGAAGGCTAGAAGTTCCTCTTCAGATGGGCTAGCTTAAACCGTTGGATCTAAGATGGCTTCCAGGCAACCTCTGATTTCATTGTAATCTAATTTCCCTACTAAGTGGGACACTTACCACCCACCAAGACAGTATACATACCAGACAATAAAAGAGGTGAAAAGAGGTGTTGCTTGAGCTGTGAGAAAGCTGTGCTCATTTCAAGTAAAGACCTGAAAATTCTTCCTTTTCACTTCCTTTTTATTATCATGTATCAATTGTACAAAATGGGTTTACTGTGACACTTTTACACATGTATATGACATATTTTAATCATATTCATCCCCATATTATCCTCTGTTGCCCCCAAACTACTATAGAACCTTTTCCTCTTTATTTCTCTTATCCTATATGTATAAACTCCCCATCCACAGGCTGAGACTCCTACATTTTTCCTTGTTCATTGAATACATTTTGCTGTTTACCCTCAGTTTCAGTTTCTTGTTCTGGCTTCGTCACTCCAAATGGAAAAAAAAATCCCTTTTGGCAGAGTGTGGGTATGTGTAGGTGTGGTGGGGTCTCTCATACTAAGTTATGGGTAACAAGATCTCTCAGGTACACAGTGTTACTGATAAAGAAACTCAGGCTTAGATGGGATAAATTCCCCCCCCCCCCCACTCTCAGGTCACCTGGCTAGAAAGAGCAAACCAGGACTTAGACTCAAACTCTGTGAAACTCTAAAGCACATGATGCATATAAATGACACTCCAACATCTTCCTAACACCAAGTTCATATGTACCCTCTCCAAGATATTTCTGAAGTAAAATCTGTTTTTTTCTGATTCTTATTTTCCTTTCAATTAGAAGCATCAAACTGAACTGAAAAACTCAGTGTGACTTTACAATCAGTACACTCAAATTATAAAAATAATGTTGATTGGCATCATTAAAACAAATTAGAAATACAGAATTAATTAGATACTATTGAGTTGTATCAAATATGAGCTGTACAAGGTTATATGATGAAATTATACCTACAATATCTTCCTTCTTTCTTTCCTTCCTCCCCCTCTACTCCTTCCTTCCCTTCTCCTCACCCCTCTCTTCCATCCCTCTATTATTCTTTTTTTTTGGGGGGGGTCCGGTCCTGGGGCTTGAACTCTGGGCCTGGGCGCTGTCCCTCAGCTCTTCAGCTCAAGGCTAGCAAGCGCTCTACCACTTAAGCTACAGCGCCACTTCCAGCTTTTAAGCTTTTTTCTTTTTGCTTATGGGGTGCTGAGGAATCGAACCCAGGGCCTCATGCATGCAAGGCAAGCACTCTACCACTGAGCCACCTTCCGAGC